ACCATGTGCTCCGTTCAGCGTGTGGCTGCCAGTGCGGCCATCACAGAGGCTGATTGAGATTATAGGTCTGTTGGTAGCAGTCATATTAAAGGTCGTCCAGTAGATGGAAACCTTGCCTCACCCTTAAACTCTAATGGATGTTGCTGAGTTCATTCAGCCTTGAGCTACACTCTGTTGTCCAGTTTGGATAAACAAGCCTGTTCTGTAATGGCCTATAATTGAAGAATCAAATTATGACTGGGTTCAAGTAGTTGTTGCCATTATGATGAATATTAGTTTAATTATTAGTTTTCCCTGTTTTTTATAGAGACTTGCATTTTATCAACCCATTATACTCTTCATGCCCCCTGTAAAATGAATGCTATTATAAAAGATTGGAAATAGCTTCCAGAATCTAATACAGCTGACTGATCTCGTACTTAAACTGTAATCAGGCCTTCAAATTAATGTAAGGTATTGTTGGTCACTTAAATTCTTTGATGTACAGATAACTACTTTTTATGAGGGTCGTCAATATCCCTATCCCTTGATCTGTAAATAGTTCTTCCTCTTGTGATCAGAAACATTACTCTGAGGCTCAGTTCTGATTCTGTTCTTTAAATAGGTTTCTAACAAATATAGCAACTACTGATAGACCTATATCAATTTAAAATAAAACCCCTGCCCATTTCAAGTACAGATGCAAATACAGATAAATTAGTTGGTTGAACAGATACAGATAAAGGTAATAGTGTACTCGCTCACGCCTATACGGTATACTTCTCTCTTGTATACATTTGCATTCTTTTATTTTAAGTTAATTTTTAATAATTTACATATATTCTGCTACTTAATGCATTGTACATTCTTTTACTTTTGTTCTTTTTCTGAATTGCTTTTAATTGTTCCTGTTTTTAATGTCTGTATATCTCTATTTTATTATACTTGCACTGTGCACAGTTCTTTTTAATTTTATTGCACAATAGTGTATACTGTGTATGTTATATTTGAATTTTGAACCAGTAGAGGCTACCGCAAACTTTCAAAATGCATAAGCGCTGTTTCTCTCCACACTGTATTAATGCAAATGCTTTTCCTGACTAAGCATAGAGAAAAAACACGTCTTAGCGCATAAAAACTACTTTCAATTACAGCACACAATTTCTGCAGTAATTGGACATATAGCTATTGTCTTCATAGCTGCATAACTGCACTCCTACTGCAGCATATGTGTTCTAATTAACATGCGGTTCGCTAAGGATTGTGCACATCTGCAGGTTTATTATTAATGAAAGTAGAGACCCCAGAACTGTTAAAGATATCAACAGTGTCACCGAAGCTAACAGGGGAATGTGGATGATAAGAAGCTTAAGGAACCCTAGTTTAAATGGTGATGCTGTGGCTCTGCTGCAAAAAAAAAAAATTGGTGTCTGGCTTGAATCACTTAAAGACCTAGTTGTGATGAGAAATTACAATAAGCAAATAAGCACTTTATAGTACAGCATGTTACTGACAAAGAGAACAAAGTATTTCTGAGCCTTTGAATCTCTTCTGGTAAGAAGTAATACATCATATGATAATCATTTGCAAATTCTCCAGAGCTATTTTAAGCTCCATTTCATCTCCAAAATTGTAACCTTTTGAAGGAAAGTAGTCCAATAGCAATCATAGGAGAAGCTCCTTTGCATTGTAAATATGATTTTATGGTGGCACGGCCCATTTATTTTGTACTTAAGCGTTCCAAGGATACATTTCTTTGTTATAACATTAGTTTTGTTCATGTCAAAGGTCTACATTTTCTTACTGAAACTTCTCAAAACAGTTTAAGTTCAGCAAAGTCTAATGATCTCTACTGTCCCAATTCTGTTTTCCAGATGTCGTCAACCTGAACCTCAAGTCCACCCTCAGAGTCCTCTACAACTTATTCACCAACTACAAAAACTCTGAGTGAACTTTTCCAGTTTCTGATATTCCCCTGATATAACTTTGAACGCTGCCCTGTGCCTGCGTTAATATTATGCATTACAGTCTGGACACTGGAGGAGACCAACTGGGACTGAAAGTCATCATTATGTGGGACTTAACAAGACAAATGGGGAGTAGCCTGAAAAAGGCTTTGAATGTTAGTATTTAATCTTCCCCAAATGTCAGTATTTATTTATTCCTTCCTCAAATGTTTCTGCAACCCAGGAAACCCTGCAACCTTTAGCCTGCATTTGAATACACAGTCGTCACTGGAAAAATGTATGAGGGCAGATCGTTAAAACTGGAAAACATTTGTGTGTTGAACTCATCATATAATTTTAAGAAAGTTTTATTTAAGAAAGTTGAAAGTGCTGTTATACATTATAGGTTATCGTATCTAAAAAGAATAGTTCAACATTTTGGGAAATACACGTATTTGCTGAGTTCCATGAGAAGATCGATAACCCCTCTAATGTTTGTATGCTAAATATGAAGCTAATTAGAGCTAGCAGCTGTTAGCTTAGCTTAGCATGAAGACAGGAGAAAACGAGTCTGGCTCTGTTCAAAAGAATCTCGTTTATTTAGTCTGTTTTTTTTTAAAAAGTGTAAAAACAGAAGTAGTTCATTCTTGTTCATTTTAACTGTTTAGAAACTAAACTTTATTATTTACTGTTCATAGCATTACAGTTTAAAACATTTAGATATAGGTTTTTAATGTAGCTTAATGCATGAATTTCACTAGTCAAACGCTGTTACTGCTACTCTAACTTTAGCAACAGTTTAGCTGCTTTTCAGCTCCTTCATGACGGGATTAAGATTCCTGCTTCCTTTAGTTATGTGGAAAATAAACACAATTACCAAGATGTCAGTTAATCTAAATAACTAAATACAGATAACAGCTAGGGCAAAAAAACTGAGTAAACTTAGTTTTAGCTTTAGCTAATGCTAGCTGTGGCTGGGGTTGCCAACTGTCCTGTGAAATACAGAATCATCGGTAAAATACATTTACGGGCTTTGTTGTGTATTTTTGAGAATCAGTTCAGTGCAAATCTATAGGAGAGATATATAACAGGTTAGATTACTAAAACATGAACCTATCGTGACGTCCCCTATTGGTTTATGGAGTCCGGTTTGAACCCTACATTTTTGGCCATGACAGTTTGTTGGAGCCAGCGGAGGTGACGTACTGCGAGTTGAGCTCCTCTCACTGGCTGCGCAGTTTCAAGTTTCGTCCATAGCAGGAAACAATGGTGGCTCGTCTGGTCACACACAATCTCGTATTACAGCTAAACGGTACACTAAAATTTGTTTCTGAGACGATTTTAGGTGAGAAATAGGCAACATAGTAACAGAATCTTGATTCATATTTGACCAGCGATGCTTAGCTTGACAGTTCGATTCGAGTTTGATGCTTTGCACTGGGCGGACTCACTAAAAATACCTGTCAATCACAAGATTGCCACGCCCAAAAACATACTTTGGCTTTATTGTCTATTTTACTCTGAATGGGACCATAATTTACTAAATGAACATCATGCCGTGTGAAAGAAGACTTAAAACTAGCGTTACTGAGCTAATAAATCAAGTAAGAAGTCGGTTCAGGTCTCCATAAGAGTGCATGGTATCGTTTCTTTAATGCAACCAATGGAGCTGTCCCATGCTGGCCTTTACATATACATTACAGAATGCAGGTTTAAGACACGTCCGCATTGGCTTTGCTTCCCAGACCCGGAAGCTCTGTCCATTATACTGTATATACTGTTTACCCTGTTTACCCTTAATTTTCATCTTTAAGTAATAAGCTAAGCTAACCTGCGGCTGGCTGTAGCTTCATATTTAATGAACAGATAGTCTTATCTAACTCTTGACAAGAAAGCAAATAAGCATATTTCTCAAAATGATTAACTATTCCTTTAAGAAACTTGAAAAGGCTATCTATTATATATTATATAATATCTGAAAATGCTTTGCATATTGTTACTATAGCTATATATTTACACTTTATACATATATGCTATTATATTGCTTTTATTCAGCAGCTGAAGGAACTGTGAACAGTTCTTGTTTACTCTGAACTATGCACACAACATTTCAAGCCATATGTAATAGCTGATGCTGTTGCCTTCTGCCTTAAGTGCAGTACATGCTCTCACCATCCCAGGAGAGCCCCATTTAGAGTATCTTCATATTGACCGGCCTTTCAGACGAGTCTCAGAGGAAGCCTGGACCTCTCACTGCTCTTCTGAAGCAGAGCTGGCCCTGCAGTGTCACCTGGAGACTTGCTAAGATGTACAGTACACCACTACTCATCTATTTTAGAGCCTGGCTGAATTATTGAGAGAGTGGATGAGTCAATCTAAACAGTGCTCGCACTGGATGGCTCACCCCTGTGTTTTTTATTTTATTTTGCCAATCAAGAAATAAATGCTTGGAATCAAAGAGAATGAGAATTTCACTTTATCTCTTACTTGTGTGATAGGTTAGATTTGCTTTGGCTTTTGAGCGAGATTGGCTTTTGAACAGCCAATTCCTGCAATTTCGGTTTAGCTAAAAGAATTATGGGTTTATTTTAGGCCTTTATTTTCTTGTCTCATTCCTTTGTTGCTATGGTAACCTCCACATCCCCCAAATTGCCCCTTCGTCTGGCTGATGGGTGGTCCTTTTTCTTTTCTTCAACAAGGCCGGTGCACATACAGAGCTGGCTGTTTTGTTGTCTCTTTCTTTTTTCTTTTGGTGTGTTTGTTGGAGAATGGAGAAGGCTGGAGACCAGATGACAGCAAATTGATCCGGTCACAGATGGAGACGTGTGAGTCGAGCCTGAGTGGTTCAGGCCTCCGAGTGTCACGTTTCTCTCGGCCCTCCTGAAGTGTGGTTTTCTAAACAATACATTTGTACCCAAGAGTGTTCCCTGTTTTCTTTCTCTCGGCACATACTTACTATTAATGTCTCAAATGCAGTTCGTGACAGAGGACATAAACGCCCTTATCTGAAAACACTGTGCAAAGCCAGTATCAAAAAAGAGGAAGTGTTACCTTCTTCTCTGCCACATCCTCTCATTTGTGCTTATCTTCCCTTTCGACCCAGTGACATGTTATTTTCTTTTAAAGCAACGGTTTGAAATTGATTGCAGTCAGACCTTTTGTGCTGACAGAATTCACAACAGGCTCTATTCGGATTGAGTACAGCCCTCCACTTCTTATATCGCTGTTTTGACAGGAGTTGACATCAGTTAAGGGAACTCAATTCAGCTGAAGTCACCCGATTCTGTCGAGTCGGCCTCAGAGTGCTGAAGGTAAGCTTATTCGAAAACACTTTTTGTTTATGACCTTGTTTGAAAGTTACTGTCAACCTCAGGAAAAGGAAGCCGTACACACATAAAACACACAGGAAAAGAAAAGTTGCTCACCAAGGCTTTTCTCTTCTCCAGATCCAGGAAACAACAGCGTGACACGCTCCAGGTCACATCTTTGTCAGACTGTGATACTTTATGTGCTTAGCTGTACTTTGTCTCAGACCATATGATTCAAAATGTTCAGAGAAAGGTGCAGCCCTGCTGATCTGTGGGGATATACAGTACTTGATCTGTTGATCTGCTAAAAAAAAGAGAAAAGGAAGTGAGGAAACACAGCTTCCTTTTTTTTAGTTCAGTTAGATTTTTTGACCTAGTGTTTTTCGAAACTTCTTAACAACCTTAGTCATAAAATAAAAAAAACGTACAAAAGCCAACTCTAGAAATGCATTGATGCAAAGATTCACACAATAATAAGCTGCCTGGCAGTCACTATCATCCACTACTGGTCAGCGAGTAAGTCTCCCTGCAGCAGTTGAAAGTTGAGCAATATGGTCAAGAGAGAGAGAGACTTTCTGCCAAACTGTTTCTTCTGTTTTTGTTTTTTTTGTGGTTTATATTCAAGAGCTTCTTCTGACAGTTGACTCCTCTGCAGGTTTTGTTGACAGGTGGTGAAAATCTCACCTCAAGAAGAAGCAATGGAGGCTAGCATCTTTGAGTATCACAAAGAGGAAGACACTATGGACATTGAGTCTTTTCAGGGTATGTGTGCGTTCAGTCAACCGCTAAATATCCAGTGTTACCCACCTATTAAATCAATCAGTCTCAGTCAGTCACTTATGAAATATATTAGGCTCACAGGTATTTTCCCAGGTTGTTGTGGTGCTTATTTACACATTTATTTAAAGTCATGTTTCTGGCCATCTGATAAATGTAAGTCCAATATTCACTCTTAGCTCAGTCTTTGGTCTCCACCACCTTTTGGTGTATCTGCTAAATGTTCCGCTATGTTCACCAGCTAATTGCTAACTTGGTGTGTTTGCCATTTTTTTGTTGGGTTTATTGGGGTTGCTTTTAATTTTTTCTGGAAACCATTCTGTTGAGAGCATTGAGTGGATACAAAAAATTGGTTTTTGGTAGGCCTGCAAAACCAGGCGATCAGAGATCTCAGCACCTACCAATCGCAAAGTAATTTCTTGAATGGCAGCAAGAACGGCTGCTAGCAAACCTACACCCCTTACTTCAAAGACACAGCTTACCTAAAACGTTGCTCTCCTGCCATTCTCCTCTGCAGTTAAAAAAAGTGGAGATATAGTGAATAACTCTGTAAGCTTTTTAAAATATTGAAAATGGATGTCCCAAGTAACGGTATATGATATGACATATTTAACTCTAATTATTTCCACCCAGTTTTATCAACAATAACTCTATTGATTGAAGTGTTTAGAGACTAGTGAGTAAGTTGTTGGCCATAACATCTTCTATATTTTACATAGTCATTTGATCCATAGTTATTATGAGCTTTAAAATCGTTAAACTGCAATACTTTAAGATTGGCTGAATGAATGCAATCTAAAGTCTGGTGGGATTATTATTATTATTATTATTCCATTAAATAAAAAATTAAGGGCTGAAAGTGGTACAAATGATAAGAGAGCTGACGCTAAATTATAGCATGTAAAAGGATTTATAAAATAACAAAAAATACTATCTGACCAATGCAGTTTGTATGTATTCACACAGGTGAGAAGCAGAAGCTTATTCAGCCATCATCTTTAAAAGACCCCAAGCTTGAAAAGCTAAAAGAGGTAAGAGATGAATTCTTGTTATCTATATAGACCTCTGTCTCCTATTCAACGTTTACTGTAACATCAAAGCTGGTCCTGGACTACCGCAGAATCAAGTGAATCCTGAGTGGGCTGGAGATAAATGCTATACAGGAAATACATTACAGAGCCTGCATGTATGTGTGCAGCGAAGAGCATGAATAATGTCTGATGCGAGGAGAGTGGTGGAAGGATCAGTGAAAATTTAATGAACATAATTAAAAGAGGTGATGGGAGACAGATCAGTGAGTCGTGGCAAGGAGTCGGCAGAGTCTGCTGGATCTGACTTTAAAACACATTTTGATTGGAAAAGATGGGAGCACAAGTGCTTCATGCAAGAGGCAATGAATGAATAAATAACTCAATAAGCCTGATATGTCTCATATGTGGAGTTGGGAGAACAAACAAATAAAACATTGGTTATTTTGGGAGAGTATTTGTCATCATTTCCATCTACATCAGGATCGTATTATCTCGGAAAATTGATAATGAATTAAAAAAAATTAGGTTTCATGCTGTTTTTTTGTAACAAGAAGATGAACAGGTTTGATGTATCTGACTGTGCTATGAATTGTGTCTTGGTAGGCATTGGTTCGTTGGATCAATAGCACTTTGAAAGTGGAGCACATAGTGGTTCAGAGTCTGGAGGAGGATCTGTATGATGGACTGGTGCTTAATCACTTGCTGTGTGAGTAAATACACATTTGTCGCCTTATTTCCGCCTAATCAGTATTTACATTTGAAGATGAGAACCAACAAATGTTTACCCTTGTAGTTCATATAAAAGCTGTCATTTCTAATATCCAAAACGCAGTCCTTGCCAGTAAAACCTTACAGATGATAATTTTATGATTTCCACAGCCACGTTGGCTGGTGTGCACTTGTCTGTGGAGGAGATGGCACTGACCAGCACTGCTCAGATCCACAAGCTGGAAGTGGTCCTGAAGGAGTTGGACAAGAAACTGGGCCTGCAGGACAGCAGCTGGATCAAGTGGAACGTCAAACGTGAGTCATGCAGCTGACTGGGCTTCAGCACCGAAGCAACAAGTGAACAAATGTTCTGTTCTTCTGGCAATGACTTCGGATTACAGCAGGATTTGGTGCTAGCTCAAGGGTGCCATTTTAGCCTACACCAACTGTGAGGCATTTTGGTGGAGATAAAATGTACAGACATTATGGGGTTCAGTTTTAGTCAACTGTCAGGGGATTATTTTTTCTGGTGCTGGGTTACGGAAGCAAAGAAGCATCACAATAATAATTTAAATGTTATAAGCATCTGAACGCCAAACTGTGAAGTGTTTGGATTTTCACCCATCTGAACTTTTCCTTCATGAATCACATTACAGAAATGAAGGAAGTCTGACCGATTCCATTCAGGCTCGAGAGCTTGTCCTTGGTGGCCTGGATGTCCAATTTGAGCATCTTGACTATTTTTTGGTTAAATTTAGAATTTTCTTTCCAACTTAAAACTCTGATTTTGGTTCTAGGTTGATTTGCTGACACTTGTAGTTAAGTGCATTTACAACTAAGCTAAGCTAATTGACAGTGCAACCAAACAAACAGTGGTTTTTGATGAAGAAGTCGGTCAATAATCAGACTTACTCCATCATATCATGAGCAACCACGATCTGATTTCATGTTATGCACAATACAAGTAGTTTTCCACACAACAGCAGGGTGCAGTTAAGTTGGTTACCTTGCTGAGTGTGAGTTGCATGTGCAGCCTGTTGTCTACTTGTTCCATTAGTACCTGCAATAAAAAAATAAAATAAAAAAAAAAGAATGGGGCATAAGTAAAGAGTGTACCCACTTCTCAAGGCACCACTGGAGGAAGGGTAACTACATAATGTATACATACATATAAAGGCTATTGCTGAAAAAATATAAATAGGGTTTGATTTCATGGAAATCACAAGTATTATAAATGAATAAATAAAAGTATTCAATTAGGTTTTCATTTGTTAATAAGATACAGATCCTTTTGGCCTTTCTTTGTTGATGTGCTGGGAGGTGGTGAGTTCTGTTACTGTATATCAAAGAAAGTTGTATTTTTTCTGTGTTTTGTTTCCTGCTGCTTGCCTGTCAGTCATCCACAACAAAGACCTTCTGGCCACTATTCATCTGCTGGTTGCCATGGTGAGATGTTTCCAGCCTGAACTGGATTTGCCACCGAATGTGAAGGTTGAAGTTGTAGTTGTGGAAGTGAGTTTCATCTTGAGCTTCAGCACCTTTTTCTGCCCCAAATCTGTCCTGAGCACACCTTCTGGAATTGCTACTCAGTTTTTGTTTACTTTAATTTTCATCCAGGTCAGCAGAAGTGGAATCAAATCAGATGTACAGACGGAGGTCCTAACAGAGGAAAGGTGAGCAGATTTTTGCCCTGTGTAATTCTGTTGATGTGAGAAAAACACAGCGTTCACCTCATATTAGCTTCGTCTTTTTCAATAGAAATGCAGGCTCAGAGTCCCTCAGCAATACTGAAGGTGAGTAAAGAGCAGTTGGGGGTTGAGCCGATTTGACATCTTGAATGTTATCGAAGCAGCATTACAGCCTACGGTGACTTTAACACACTTTTCTGTTCCGTGTGGTTACCCCAGGGGAAGATCCCATCGAGCAACTGCTGAAGCTTGAGGCTCACAAGGTCAACACGGTGAAGCAGGTATAACAAGGAGAGGAAGAGAAGTGCTGAGGTAGTTTAAGCAGTTAACTCTCATCTCCGCTTGCAGTGAGACAGCAAAGTAACACTTGTGGCCTTAACGTAAAAACCTGTAAGCATGATGAATTTACAGTTTACTATATACCTGAATTTAGTAAGGATCAAATAGAAAAGGAATGCTTATCCGGTATTTTGTAGTATATGTGAATGGATCAAAGTATTCTAACAAATTATTAATTTTAAGCAGGATTGGAAGTAAAAATCTGTTTTTATATATTGATATTTATAATTTTTTTAGTAATCATGATTAATCATTTGATGTATAGCATGTCATGACATAGTAAAAAATGCCTATCACATGTTTCTAAAGCTCAAGGGGATGCCGTCATACTGCTTTTTGTTTGACCAACAGTCCATAATCTAATGATGATTAATTTATTAGTGGCTTCAACAATTCATTATCAAAATAGCTGCCAGTTGAAGGTCCAGTGTGTAGGACTAAATGTCATCTAGTAGTGTAGTTGCAGATCAAACCTTGGATTGAGAAATCAATGAATCAACAAAATGTTTCAGCTCTAATTTTAAGCAGGGCTGCTACTAATTATTATAAATTGTCATTTGATTCATAATTACGTAGAGCCCAAGGTGAAATCTGCATTTCAACAGTCCAAACCCCAAAATATTCACAATATGTACAACAGAGAGCAATTGTTCTTGATAAAGACATAAACAATTAACTGACTATGAAAATTGTTCAATCATCTAATTAATTCACTTCATCAGCTATTCACTCTGACCTTTTTATTGTTTAAAAAAAAACAAAGCAAGACAACACGGCAACACAAGACAGACACGTACAGAAAGAATGCAACACTGATATATTCACCTTTATAGTTTCTTCTAAGAGCAACGTAATCATATACTTGTAGTTGTGCCACCTGATGAAGCCCAATATTCACTTTCTTTTAGCTCTGTTTTTTGTTTACCAAGTCTTGAGGGAGCATTTCTGGCTGCCCCCTTGTTCTGACTAAATAATGTCCAACCATGCAGGTAACAAGAGAGCACATATGAGGGGACTCCCTGCAAGCATTTATTTTTATTTTTTTATTATAATTCTTCTGACTCTATAAACTAAAGCTTTTGTCAGGTTTTGATGAAGAATGAAACACATGTAATACCATAATATGCCAACTAATTAAAGCCAGCGTGTATTTCAAACTGCCTGACCTTAGTTTTTCTATTTTCAGGCGATCTTACACTTTGTCAACCAGAATATGTCAACCGTGGGTCTACAGGTGGCTGATATGGACAAACAGGTAGAAAAAAAAAGAAACAAACACAACAACAATAGTTGAACACTGTTTTGGAGCACTGGCTGACTCTCCTGAGTAACTGATTACTCCTTGAGATTGTATCACCTTTCTTGGATGGTCTCTAATGTGTGTGTGTTTTCCGTCTAGTTTTCTGACGGTGTGATTCTGCTGCTGCTGATCGGACAGTTGGAAGGCTTCTTCATCCCTCTCTGTGACTTCAACCTGACCCCTGTCAATCCCTCTGAGATGGTACGGTATGGATTCAATATGGATTCCTGACACATTAATAAGGGAAGAGCTTTCTTAGAGAGGTGATCAGTTAACATTGGACAGAGACACAACACCTAACTTTATTAGTATGTATCATCACCATCATTGTTCTGCCTCTAGATGCTCACAGATGATGTGGGTTTCATTTGCAACATACTATTAATTAAATAATCAACTGGTCAAAAGAGAAACGACCAATTTCAATTAGAATTAATTTAATTTCTGACTGATATTTTATGAAAGTGTAGATATACACTCACTGCATTATTCTAATTCAAAAGTACTAAGATCATAATACA